TCAGCTGTCCGTTCTCTTCCATCTGGGCTGTTTGCGTACTCCCTGTAGCATTTCCAGATAGCAGGGCCATGGGGTCCACCTTGCTGTCGTAACGGTCGCTTGATAACGACGGGTTCAGGCCCGTTTGCACGCCTTCCGTCGCCGGCACTGAGGTATCCATCCTCTGTACTGTAAACGATAATTGAATATCTTGTGACATTTGCATATCGTTGTTTGGTGTTAATTTGGTGTTGTTCATTTAGCACTACCCGGAGAGCACGTGTAGGGTGTTAAAGCAGTACCTACGGACGCGAACAACGCTACCCTCGTCTTGTTAGGTCAGTTAGTGTGACCAACCCATTAAAGGGGAGTTTTGTCCACGGGAGCGTATTTTGTTTGGTTATTTTGCTTGGCTCCTACCCGCTGTACCTAACTAAGAGATTATCCAAGTGTCATCCAAGGACAGCGAGCATTCTCCCATCCGCTCAGGGAGACGCGCCCGGTAGCAGTATCTCTTCTGCCCCGAGTGTGTGTGTGTGTGTGTGTGTGTGTGTGTGTGTGTGTGTGTGTGTGTATGTGTGTGTATGTGACCCTTTTGTAACTTTTGAACGGCTTGACCGATTTCTTCGTGGTTGGTGCCATTCGAAAGGGTTTGATCAAACTTAGATTTTAAATGTACTTAGGACCGATTCGGACCGCTAGATTTCGAGAAATCGCAAAAGAACTACAAAAAAATTTTTTTGAAATGTCGCTTTTCTTCAAAAACTTTCAATTGGCTCTACCGATCGATTCCAAAATCTAATCAGCTCTTAACATAAAAAAACAACGTCGATCGCCGTCGGCCCGGTCTTAATCGGTTTATTTGTTCGTGAGTTATCGTTGTCGAAAGAAAACCGAAAAAAAAGTGTTTTTTCGGAATCACTCCGAAATTCCTAGTTCGATCAATTCATACTGTTAGAAAATACTGAGGTGTTTAGGAGGTGGTAAATAAAAAAGCGCGGTTAATTTAAACTTAGGTTTATTTTCAGTCTTCTTACAACGATTAGTATTAAATTAAATATAATCTCAAAAAAGAGTTCGCACTTAGTATAGGCTCGTGGCAGTGAGTATTAGCCGACAGAGAGTTTTTTTGAACGCGTAACCTTTCGTTGAGAACCTTCTGTTGTATTCAAAGGACAGGCTTAGAAGGTGCGGGGGTCCTTAGAGATGCTCTTCTCAGCAAGATAATGCCCAATTTCCTTTGAGAGAACTCAACTTGCACTAGGAGGTATACTTAAAATGACGGCTGTGAGAAGAGCCTACTTCTTGAAAGTTTTATTACTGATTTGTAGTGGTAGATACTTGACTCTTGATTTTAGATGTTAACAGTTTAATTGCACAAGAAAAACAGATGCGGTGGCACTCGGCGCCTGTGTTTAAACGTAAGTCGGGAGGCCCAGAACGTTCTGGTAAGCATGCGCAGACATCGATTTCTGGAACGATGTCTGCGCCGATACTTTTCTAGAGGGATCAATTTCTCGAAAGTTACTAGATGGAGAGCGCTTCGAATCTTGAGGCGGGAGTTTGAATTGAAATTATGCTAGAGATGGCGCCATTACTAAACTTATTAGAAAAGGAAACTAGAGATGGCGCCGCTACTTGATAAATCTCAAACACATACTCAAAGTTTCTTCATGAGGCTTCAAAAACTGCGTTGAATGCTACTAACCACTTGAAAATCGGTTCATTCATTTAAAAGTTATTGCGGTATGAGAATTCAAAAAGTTGTGTTTTATTAAACTGCCATCTATCAGAGTTTTGAGCTCGAAGAGCTCAAAATGACACAAAAATCATATTTTGAGCTTGATGAGCTCAATAACGCAATGTGTAATTTTGAGCGCTTAAGTACAAAATGAGCGAGAAGTTGTAGGGATGGCCTTTAGGGTCAACCGTCGTCCTAATTTTTTTTTCCGTATTCGTCTATTCAGTAGCTATCGTTGCACGTAAGGGATTTTGAAAATTTTGATTTTTAAGATTTTTTAGAGCTGTTTAAATCCAAAAAAATGAGGAAAAAAATCGAAAAAATTCTCAATACGTCACTATTTTTTTTTAAATCCAAATTTTCAAAATCTCCTACGTGCAACGATAACCACATGCATGCAGATTACTACGCTGATTCGTTTTTTTGTTTTAAATAATCCGTTTTTGAGTTAGAGATCGCACCGTGGTGTGAGAAAATTTATTTGGTGTTCCACAAAAATGCTAATAACTTTGTAACAACATGGTATTTTCTGATAAAAATTTAGGAGAATAATCCCAGTGGCTATCCCCCTTAATTTCAAGGTATATGATATTTTGAGAGGGAAACGTACTGTGTTTGAGTTTGCCGGTGTCTAGTTGGTTTGATGATTCTGTTCTGGAGCGTGATAACTGATCTGGGTCAGATTCGCTTTCATCGCTGTCATCTCCTGGAGTGTGTTGCTTTCTTTGTTGACGCCGCCGTGATGATACACTCTTCATACTCTGGTGAATTAGGTAAGTATAAATCTATGTGATATACATTTTTGTCATCTCATTATAAACATACATATTTTAATCAGCTCCTCAATTTATGAATAAAAAATGATAATTCATAGAAAATTTTTTTTATTATAAAAAAATTTAATCTGGCCAGATATCGCACTAAGTATTAAACGGGTATGCCCATATTGGAACTGCCAGAGTTGAATGACGGGGCCTTGCCTGGCCCAGTACTGGGCAACCAAGCTTGGCGAACCGATATTGGCCCATGCTTGGGCCAAGACTAGGTAATCAGCCTTGGCCAACCCAATAATTATCCAAGCCTGGGCCAAGACTAGACAACCAAGCCTTGGCCAGCCTAATGATTATCCGAGTCTGGGTCAACACCGGTTTGCCATAGAATGGCCGAGGCAAGAGAACTCAACGTCGGGTTAAGACTGGGTAACCTAACCTTGGCCATTCAATGGAAAATCCAAAGTTAATTAATCATTAAGTAATGGAATTCTGAACAGTAAACATTGATTGCTGAACGAATATTTGTTAGCAAATACTAAAATTGAAAATTTATTATTTAACCAAAACAATTGCATATAGTCAAAATTGATATGATCTTAAAAAGATTAAAAAATAATAATTTACAGTTAAATTTTTAATATTGATAATTTTAAACAGTAAGATTTATAATAAGATATTAAAAATATACCGAACAATGTACAAAGTCCAAAGTAATATAAGAACTTGATTTTTGCTTTTTTTTTTAATTTATGAACATTTGTAGAAAATAATTACAATACATATTAGCTATTTCAGTTATTAATGATTTAGCTATTCTTTCTTAAAAAAAGTATGATTATAAATTCCTACTGTCCCAACAATCAATCGATAAAATTTGAAATCAAAATGTATTTGCCTAACATTGTATAGAATATTAGTATTTAGTAACTTTCTACTTTTATTCTAATGATTCCTTTGAATTTAGTTGACAACCGAATTTGTAATTACAATTTATTCATTTTGACAGTTATTATAGTAACGGTAACCATAGCACAACGGTAACCATGGCAACGGTAACAATGGTAACGGTAACAATGGCAACGGTAACAATGGCGACGGTAACCATGGCAACAGTTGATTAGCGTAGGTGGTTGTGGGGGGGGGGGGGTAGAGTGGGGTTAAGTTCTATAATTGATAGGTACTACTGATGGTTTCTTTCATTGGAAAATCAAAATGATATTTTCCCCAAAAAAAAGAGAGAGAGATAGAGAACGAGGAAGAAGGAACGAGAGATAGGGCACGGGAGGGGAGGGGAAGGATGAGAAGGAGGGGAGAGTACTAAAACTTTGAAATTAGCGATAGACGTTTACGATTTTATAATTTGATTTTCTTGAAAAAAGTTTTTTGTTTCTCCGTAAAGTAGTGTTTTTTGAGATACGAGATTACGTCAGAGTACCCTCGATGTGTAGATATGTATATTAGGCTGGCCCAAAAAACCGACTATTTTTTTTTTGGTCTTAAGTGAATAAATATTAGTTTTTGATGTTTTAAGAGCCTTTTTCAAAAGACAGCTTAAAAAAAAATGTTAAGAGGTCACTCCAAATTTTTAAAAATTTTTAAAATGGTCAAAAATCGAACTTTTTTTTTTTTGAATTTTTTTTCTCGTTACGGTATAATTTTATAGACTAAAAAAAATAAGTCTCTGAAAATTTCAGTTCAAAATTTAAATTTTGAAAAGTTGCTCAGAATTTTTTCCATTTTATTAGTGCATTAGTTTAGATTTTTTCGAGCGATCTTTTACTACTCAAATACCGTTGCCATGTTAATCGTTGCCAAGTGATTGCCATAGCAATGAAAAGCGACAACAATGAAAAAGTTACATCAACTTTTTAATAAAGGATTGCCTGCCACATGAAAATCATGTTTTTGGCAACTAATAACTCTTTCCTAATATTATACTTGACGGGGAGCAGTTAACAGAACATCAGACTAGCAAGCAAAGGATCGCGAGTTCAAATCCAACAGGCGCCCCTTGATTTTTTCAGTAGAAATCGTTTCTCAAAGTCGTAATGAGCTTCCGAGATAATAATCAACAATGTAAGAATGAAAAAAAAAAATTTTTTTTTTAAATTTTTTTTTATTCAAGTTCAATGGTATGAAATTTTATAAAACTATATAAAAGACTATCATTTTTTATACGGATTTATGAGGCCATTTTCGGTATGAAATTTTCTTGAATTTTTTTATCCCAAACCGACTTTATACCACTGTTTTACTTTTAAATAATCTTAAATTGCTCGAATGAGAAAATTATTATGTAAATTTGTAATTATTAAATTAAGTTACATAAATTTTAGTGATAAATGAATTTTTTCTATGTCACATCGATATTTCTATCATGTTAATAAAAAAAAATTCCCATGTTACCATTGGAAAAATTCCTATGTTAACATTGGAAAAAATTCCTATGTTGACATTGGAAAAATTCCTATGTTAACATTGGAAAAATTCGTATGTTAACATTCGAAAAATTCCTATGTCACATAGGAATTTTTCCTATGCAAAAATAGGAAAAATACCTATGTTTTTTTCTCCGTGTAATAATTAACAAATATAGTTATATCTGGCCATATATAATAAAATCTTTTTATGTCTGATGTATTTTTCAACCCAGATATAGATATATCTTTTTAGATCTGATCAGATATGACTAGATCTGTTCATGTCTGATGTATTTTTCAACTCAGATATAGATATATCTGTTTAGATCTGATCAGATATGACTAGATCTGATCATATCTGATGAAGTTTTCAACTCAGATATACACTGCAAAAAGAGCGGTGTTAAAAATGGACTTATTTCAACACCGCGCGGTGTTAAAATAAAATAACACCGGCATAACTTTTCCGGTGTTAAAATACCGGTGTTAAATTGGTGTAAAACGGAGTAATACCAGTGTAAAAGAGGAGTAACCATTCTATTTAAAATATCAAGATTATAAAATCTATAAAACATAATAAAATTTAGTTTTTAAATTTAAAAAATAAATAGAAAATGTATTAAAGTAGTATTTATTACACTGGCCCACAAAAAAAAGTGGTCTGTACTTTTAACCAGACCTATCTTTATGTATTTTGATATTTGAAAATTTTTTGGATTCAGATTGAGTATGATTTTTATGTACTTTGTTTCACTAAATTTGAATCTGAAATTTTCTTGTCCTATTGACGTTTTAAAATTAAAAAAAAAATCTCAAAAAATAAAAAAAATCGAGAAAATTGCAGTTTTAAATATGAGAAAAAATCTATTAATCACGATTTTTAATGACTCAGGTGCATTTTAATGGATGAAATATGATCTTAGAATTGAAATATTCACAAAATTTTAAAATCTATAAAAAATGAAGTACACTGAGAAAAAAAAATACTTTTTGTTATACTCGCTCCAGAAGTTCAACTTCTGAGCGCTGGGTGGCGTCCGTAAAGGGACTCTTTTCTAGAGACTATGTAACGGGTGATTTTTCCCAAACTTATCCCCTTTGGCTCGATATAGAGCTCGCCGGAGTCCAGGGTTGAAATCAAAGGGAACAATCTCGGTTATTAATCAAAATACACAAAATATCCAATTAAATAAAAATACGCGTAATTAACTAAATAAAAGTTCTGTATTTTTAAAAATAAAATATATATACATCAAACTAAGTTAAACAAAATTTATATATATAGTTCAAACAGAGTAACGTTGTATCACACACACAAGTATACAAAATGGCGTAATACCAACAAGATGGCCGCGGCGTACAACAATTATCGCGGTCAAAACTAGTCTCCGTACAGTATACACGGTCACGATGGAGCCTATTTCTCCTTCCCAGATAGCAAACGCGGTCTAAGGTGCAAAACCCCTAATTCACCCAACCTCCCTTCGAGAATGAGTGGAGTGTATCCGCCTCACCCTCGCCTACCGAACTACCCCAGAGAGAGATCGGAGTGTATCCCTATCTCTCCCACCTACACGGCTTAGTTTCGCCTACTGGATTTGGACAGAAGGTACCAAAACCAGGGAGAACTTAGTCTATAGGAAGTGTAAAAGAATTACTCACCAATACCCGTGTAGGGCCGAGGTGGGTAGTCTTCCAGAAATCACACGAGAGAGTGTATCCACAAGTGTATTCACTTCCACTAGACTGGTTGCTTTTCCCGACTTCAAAATGGTTTATAATAATTCAACAATAATTGTCTTCAAGCGATAATTGTTGTTCGTTCTGGCCCTCTATCGATAGCACTGGTACTATGGGTTTTTGCCAAAATTTTCTAAGTTTTTATTTCCAAATCCCAATTCTTTAAAATAATAATCTTCCATTCTCTCATTTTATATCCATTCGCCGCATCGAATTCACAATTCTTTATTATTTTAATTGTCAATTCTTTCATTTTATATCCATTCGCAGATTTCCCATACTAAAACTTACTTGGGACTTAGAATATTTTGGTACTACCAAATAAATCTAACATCTTTTGACAAAAAATATAATTCTGTTGTCAAATAAATATTTTCGCTTATAATATTGCAAAGAAAGACTTAAGCAATTATTTTCGGTATTGAAAAAGAAAAAATAAAATATTATCAAAAATAAAAAAATATTATTTTATGAAAACCAAAATCGCTTATCAAAACAATTATCCAACTCTTAGTCAGTTGGAATCTTTTGTCGTTTTAGCCCTCTGTCGGCCAGGTTTAGAATTATAAACTTATTCGCCAAAAATAAATAATAATTTAGTTTATATGAACAACTCGCTGTGATAACAAAATCGTTTCCCAAAATTGTTATACATTGTTATAACAAACGGTTCCCAAAATAATATAAATAATATAACCCAATAGATATACTTATTGCACGTAGGCAAACTAATATTTTGAACATTAACTTATTTACATTATAAACAATTATACCAATGACCATGGGCCCATAAATGGCTAAACTAACAATTCGTAGATTACCAAAATAAACAAATCAAACAAATCAAACAATAAATAAATACTAAATAAAACGGTGATTCTGACTCGCTGGTATCAGGAGAGCAGGAGTAGCGTGGAGTAGGTAGCTCACTATTCCCCTCTTGGCTTTCGGGCCCCTCGCTCGCTGGCAGGCCCCCTTCTCCTATGTTCGACTTTAATTCCGCCGGTTCGAGAATTTCCCCCTCCCTTAGGTTCGTTATAACTACCATACCGTCTTTTTTTCACGGCCTAGGCCGTGAAGTTTTACCCCCTCCTTTTTTTTACGAACTTTTCATGTACACCCAGACGAAATTGAGAGACTGTTAAAAAAAGTCACATTCTAGGGTACTGACCGATAATTTTTAGTCTTAGTTACTATTGACTGGCGCTAATTATTTCTCTGCTGGCGGTTTATTACGAAGCGGACCTAATGTTAATAAAATAACAACAACGCCATAAATAAATAC